CGGTACTGAGTAAAACTATGGACACCCCTAGTCTTACCACGGATAAGCTTAATTTTTTTATTTCAATTGTGTTGACTTTTTCAGGAATGGCCAGAAGGATCATTGGAGGAAATAGTGCAAAATGGTATTAAGTCACGGGAGATGGAACTCTCTCACAAGATCCAGTTGCAGGACTTCAAGACCATTGTACCTAAATATTTTAAGCTCTTTTTTAATGGTAATTAATTAATTCATCACTTTTGTGTCAATTTTTATTTGGTAGACATCTTTTTCTATGGGAGAATTTGATAGATATTTTGCTTCTATGCATTTATTTGTGGCGTGTATTTTTGTTCCTTTTCATTAATTAATTTGTTTGACAAATTTTTTTAGAAGACATTATTTGATGAATAATTGTTCACTTAATTATGTAGGTGAATCATTCAAGTTTTCTTATATATGTTTATTTTCGGTATACATCATGTTAGGATCAACTTTAATTTTGTTGAAAATTGTTAGATCTAAAATTTATATCAAGGTGAAAAAGATAACTCAACTGTCCAAATTAAAAATCAATTTTTATATTTTCCATATAATTTTGCTTATTGTAACAGTTTGTTTGCCTTATGGCTATGTTGCTCCAATTGTGTATCACATAATATTAATCACTGTTTTTATTATTATATGCTTACTTAGTTTTTCTGCAGGTTCACTCTGCTACTTTGGACATTTGGCTCCCATAGCAGGTTGCATTTATTCAATTATAAATCTAAATATATTATATAGTTTTCTCACTCTATTTGAATTTATGTGCTTTATTTTAAAATGCTATGGGAAATGAGAAAGAAGCTTCAGTTGGTTTGTCCAGTGGCAATGCTTTTGGCATGCAAGTATGAGGAACTTTCTATGCCCGTGGTTGGAGATCTAATTCTTATATTAGACAGAGCATACACTAGGAAAGAAGTCAGTGGACATGTCCGAGTGACCACGTTTTCTTCGATGCATCAGTTATTTGGGGTCTAGTAGGACCTAAGAGGATATTTAGTATTTTTGGAGAGTACTCAGGATTGAACTGGTTTTTCCTTGGAGGTGCCATAAGACCAATACTTGTTTGGCTATTGCACAAGGCATTTCCACAAGAGTCATGGATTCTGTTGATTAATCTTTCAGTACTCTTGGGAGCAACTGGAATGATGCCTCCAACAACAGTGATGAACTACTATGCATGGATTTTAGTTGGAACCAATTGCTTACTATCCTTAATTATGAAATCTCATTTGATCCTCAAATGTGGACAAAATTGTGGAAAGATTCAACTAGAGATAAATCCATGGCTGCTAATGTACTTTTAAATTTACTGACTTCTTGTCATTCTAAGATTCTCGTTCTTAGTGTTGCTCATATTCTTGGTTGTGGAAAAAATGAACTAAACAGATCTGCCAACATTTTGTTTTCAGCTTTTCCCCACAAGGTGTTTGTTAAAATGCCTTTGACACCCATTTGTGGAAAGTGTGATAAAATAGTTATGTTTTTTGTTATTGTGTACTTTCCCGAAAGCTAAAAGTTATATTTCTGTGCACGAGGTAACTTTTCCTTACAAATAAAAATCGGTTGTGAATTTTGAGTTTGTGCTTGCAGGAGTATGGTCATCGTGTTAGGATAGCAACTCATGCTAATTTCAAGACATTTGTATGATCTGCTGGTGTAAATTTCCACCCTCTGGGTGGTGATCCTCGGGTATTGGCAGGATGTAAGAGGTTCCTTTTAATAATTTTCTCAGTATCTGTTAATTTATATTTCGGTATATTTTAAAACAAAAACATATTTTGTTTTGACCATATTCCATTTCTATCCAGCTTTTACAATCATAGTTGATCACAAGATGAGGTGTCTTTTATTGTTTATTCGTGGCACACATAGTATCAAGGATACTCTAACAGCTGTTACAGGAATTGTGGTACCATTTCATCACACTGTAGTTCATAGGGGGAGTTAGAATTTTCCCTGTTATACCATGATAGAATTTTGCTTAATATATTCTTATCAAGCATTTATAAGTAGTATGCATTTTGTCAACACTAAAGTAATCCCTTTAACAAGTTTCCCTGTTATACCATGATAGAATTTTGCTTAATATATTCTTATCAAGCATCTATAAGTAGTATGCATTTTGTCAACACTAAAGTAGCTAAGAATAGGAAGCTTGTGGAACAGTCTGAGCTTGAGTTGGAAAAATGTGAAGTGCTGAAGAGGGAACTGACTGAGAAGCTGAAAGTAGTAGTGAGAAAGAGACTCTTAGCAAAGAGAATCTGGCCAGAGCAAAGGATGAGTCTGCTGCGACATCTCGAATAATCGGGTTTGCCATAGCTAAAGTCGGTCGGTTTCTTAATTGCTCAATGGTTGATGCTTTGATTTAGCTATCAAATTTCAGTTTTCTGTTTTCTTCTGTGTAATGGTTTTAGGATTGCTTTATGTGTCTGTTATGGTTGCATGTGTAACATTATAGCCAACTATTCAGAATGTTCATATGAATGTGCCTTGTAGATTTGATTCTATGGTTACTTAAGGTTGAAGTAAAAACAGTGTTATGCTTTATTGGGAATTGATTTATTCTCTTACTAATAGTAGTACCAATAATTATGCTTTATTTGAAATTGAATATTCTCTCAATAGTATGATCAACAAGATGGTTCTCTGACATGCTTTCAACTTTAAGAATCCTTTGTTCACGTGACCCCTTTGAGAAATGAAAGTTGCTTTGTTTTAAATCACTAGTTGGATATGATCATCGTTCCTTACACATAATGTATTCAAGTCTTAGAGGACATAAACCAAAACAACCTATTATAAACTCATGTATTCAAGTCTTATAGGACATAAACCAAAACAACCTATTATAAACTCAACTTTTGAGAGTAATATTACTTAAACATATTTGCACACTTATGTAAATATTATTTTAGAGAAAAAAAATACATTAACTTTTTTTTATGAATCAGCTATTTCTATAATAAAAAAGATTAAGAAATTAAATTAGAATCAAATCTAATTTCTCTCTCAGATATTATTATGAATCAAATCTAATTTCTCTGTCAGCTATTCATAAACAATATAATTGTTACAATTATTATGGTTACAAGTAATTTCTCTCTTAGATTACTTGCGATTTTACCTGCGACTTTTCTATTTGCTGCGACCTTTCCTGCGAAAACTTTGATTACCAGCGGTGTTATCTGCGAATTTATCTACTTTACCTGCGATTTTTACTTGCGACTTTTACCTGCGACACTTTCCTGCGACTATACCTGCTAACTAAATTAGCCACAAAGAATTTAGCTAGGAACTAAAAATAGCGGGAAGAGTCGCAGGTAATATGTTTCCGACGGAAAGTTTGTCAAAATCCGTAGGTAAATCCGCAAGAAAACAGAATATTTCTAGTAGTTATAGGAGGGTGAAAAATCACTAAATTACATATGGAAAAACTACTAAGCACAAGAAATGCCTGAAAGTAACAAATAAGCAAGAAAGAGAAAAAAAGAAATAAAATGCATCAAATAGTACGACAAACAAACCAATCAAATAAAATACAATCAAATTAAGACTAGTTGTTAAGAGTCTCACTTTAGATAATATATGGCATGAACATGTATTTATATGTGAGGACAATTCTAACTCTACCAACCAATTTTGTAGGGTTGAGTTAGGCTCAACCACACTTCTTATCATGGTATCAAGACAATCCACTATTTATTTCCACCCTCAAGTTGTATATTCCTGAGCGTGAGGGGTGTGTGAAGAGTCCCACATCAGATGATATATGACTTGAATATGTGTTTATAATTGAGGACAATCATCATTCTACCAACCCACTTTGTAAGGTTGAGTTAGACCAATCACATTTCTTAACACTACTGACCAAAAATCCACAGAGATGCAAGACCAAGTTTCTAACAAAGGCCCCGACACTGAAAATAGGTTAGATCTTAAGCCTCAAGAGCTACCATCAACATATCAGATCCTAACAAATGAGCACAAAATATGGAGATAACATTAAGCACAAAATTAATAAGAATATAGAGATAAAATTGACATATTTGTACTTCTAAGAATTGAGTTTCTTTGAAAACAAATTAACTAAAGGAGTCAAAGTAGATACAAGCTGGAGATTATCCTTCACTAGCAATCCAAGATACTTAAAATGAAGAGAGTAAATTTCACCGTGGAAGAAGTTCCCGACAAAGGTAGATCCTCATTAAATCCTATAAGACTACTTTTAAATAATTTCACTCGAAGCCCAAAAGCTCGGTCAAAGCTTTTAAGAATTTCCTTAATACTTCGCAGATTCTTTATAGTAGAATAAACTTTTAGGCAGTATCATTAGTATACTCAAAGATGAGAGACCATCAACACATATGTCCGCACTCTAAAACCGAATTAAATATGAAACTATCTGATCATCAAGGAAGCATACTCTATAATTTAACTTTCTCTTTCCTATTATATATGTATCAAGATTTGTGAAAATATGGATAATATAGTGATTAAAGAAACATATTTTATCATGTGTGTATGGATAATTGTAATTGTGATACAGATATTGCATGTCTTATATGGCATAATATTCAAAATAGTATTAAGAGTATCTTAGAATTTGAAGTCGATTACATTTATCAAAAACTAAATAATGAAAAAACTATATATTTAACCAAGATTATATCATTTATGTTGTTATGCATTAAATATCAATTATATTTATTATATACGAAAAATCATTTAAAGAATATTTATTTTGCATGTTTATTATTAAAGCATAAATTTGGATTATTTAGTCTTAATCTTCTAACTAAGTTAGTCGCAGTTATAATGCATGTTTTTTAAAATATCCTTATGATTAAACAAGAATATGATATCTTTAGTTCGAAACATGAAAAAAAAAAATTGATATCTTAAGAATTTCTCTTATTTTTACCAACATTTTTATGCAACTTCATGTTTTACTCTCCTATATCTTAATAAATCCCTTAATATATCTTCCATAACTGAATTGAATTTCCAGCTTCGACGCTAGCAATCATCATATCTTCACAAGGATTCCAAGAAAGATCGCTTATTTCACCTAAATGACCATGATGAACATAAACCATTGCTGGGCCTTCTTCAACATCCATGTCATTTTGATTATCATCAATCTTACTAATATCCCAAACAATCACTTTCCCTAGATGACATCCAGAAGCAAACATTGCTTCATTATTTGGATTCCAATCAACCTGAAAAACACATCCATCCACTTGTTTAAAGGTGTGAACACATTCATACATATCATTGCTTTTACCTATCTTTCTTGTATCCCATAATTTTATTGTTTGGTCATTAGAACCTGTAACAATGTTCCATTCTTTGAAGGGATTAAAAGATAAACAATTAACTGTTTCTGAATGAGCATTACAGTATTGAACTGGATTGTTCACTATTGGAGCTCTAATATCCCATAAGTGAAAGTTCTTTTTGCCAACAGATCCAAATAAATTTGCATTCTTTGAATTCCATGCTATGTCCTTTATATCACCTTCATTAACCTAACAACAAAATAAAATAAATATGTTAGATTTTTTTTTATTAACATAAATGGGATTACGATAATTACAAAACAAATCTAAATTTAAATCCGGTTATAATTAAGTAAAAATATATATAACGGCAAATTAGTAAGATTGATGATAATCAAAATGAATCAACAAATATATTTTATCTAAAAAATCGAACAAAGATTTGATGTACCTTGAAAACTCGCAAGGGTTCGAGAGTAAGATTGTTGTGAGTGGCATTAACATCCCAAATACAAATATTACCATCATAATCACCACTAAGCAAGTGACCGCTATTGAAATTGCTCCAAGACAAGCCATAACCATCAGTTTTATGACCGAGCAAACTTAATTCAGGGCGAGCACGATCATCAGAAGTTCTAGAAGGTTGTTTCTCTGTATCAAATATATAAACCTGAGGACCATTTGTTTTAGTTGCAATAATTGAATCTTTTTTAGGCATATAACGAGCAATGTTAACATTGCCATCGTGATTGATCATCTTGATAATATTAAACTCAATATCATCATCCATATCATTGTTTCTAGGACACTTAGTGTTGCTTGAGTAGTCGGAATCCAGATTCCTATAAGGAATTTGGACCTCGGCTATCATTAGGTAATTGCGATCATATTCTTCATCATGGTTTCCCAAAATGACCTTTTGGACTGAGTTGTTCTCACCTTCCAGTTCGTTGTAAGCTGGAAACCATTGGAATGTGAGGGTGGGCCACTCAAATTCATGTGTTATGACAAAATTCATCTCACCGCCATGGTTTACACAATTATGTGCTCTCGCTGCCAAATAGTTTCCAGTATTAACATTCGCCTCACCATTATCTCTATCCATAATTCGTCAACTTACAAACTTTATTTCCACTATCTCACCAAATTGCTCACTATTCCACCACCTTTTTATCACACTCTACTCTCGACTCTTAGACCATAATATATATAGAGAAATTGAATTGCAAGTATATCATTACTTCCAACTCTTTAATATTTTTATTTTTTATTATACGAATTCAATGGATTAATATTTTAATTATGTTTTGGTAAAAAATATACATTTAAAGTTTCATATATGTTTCTTTAAGAAAAAATAAATTTTTCCAAAAAAAGTCGTTTTTTATATATTTTTTATTTGGAAAAACCATATTTTTAGTATTTATGATTTTTTTAATTTAAAAAAAAAAAGATATTTTTCCAAAAATAAAAATATTTAGTTTTTAAATTTTTTTAAAGAAAATAATTTATTTAAAAAATAGAAAAAAAAACGTTTTTTTATTAAGTTTTATTAAGTTTAATTTTTATTTTAAGAAAAAAATATGTTTTTTCCAAAAAAAGTTGTTTTTTATTATTTTTTTTGGGAAAAAAATGTATTTTTAGTATTTTTTTTATTTTTAAATTTTCAAGAAAAAATATTTTTTCCAAAAATAAAAATATTCAGTTTTTAAATTTTTTTAGGAAAATGTTTTATTTCAAAAATAAAAAAATAGATTTTTTAATTATTTAATTTTTATTTTAGGAAAAAAGTTTGGTTTCCAAACATAAATAAAAAATATATTATATTTTACATAAAGAAAAGGAATTTAAAAATAAATTTTATTTTTAGAAATAAAATTTTAAGGATTTTTTGTAATTTTTTAAAAATAGACTAATTTTAATTTTATTTTGGATATGGATGTATTAAATATGGATTTAGTTAACATCGTAAAATCATATTAATATTTTGTTCAAAAAATGGATTTTATTAAAACCTTAATAATAATTAACTGATTTTAATAATCGGATTTGAATATGAATATGAATACTCCAAGTAACGGATTAATTTGAGCATCCTTAATTGACGTACTCATAATCATCAACTTGAATTATATCCATACCAGATTGTCAAGATCTTGATCTAGATCTTAAAATTTAATGATTTTGTAAACTCACTCAACACCAATGATCCACATCATAAGTAGAATAATCACTACTACATAAATGATTTTTGGCAGCGCATGAAAAGACAGCGTTTTTTGAAAAAGCGCTGCTAAAGAGTCAGGAAAAAAAAGAAAAAAAAATAGTAGACTTTAGACAGCGCTTTTAGAAAAGTGCTGCTAAAAGTGGCACCTACGAAGCGCTTTATATAAAGCGCTGCTAAAAGTAGGCCCTACGAAGCGTTTTATATAAAGCGCTGCTAAAAGTAGGCCCTACGAAAGCGCTTTTAGAAATCGTTGCTATAGGGGTCACCTATGAGAGCGCTTTCAGAAAGCGCTGCTAAAGGGGTCATTCTAAGAAAGCGCTTTTATAAAAAGTGCTGCTATAGGTGGTACAAAAGACAGCGCTTTTATAAAAGCGCTGCTATAGATCCTACCTTATCAGACCTTAGAGAGCGCTTTTATAAAGCGCTGCTAAAGGCCTTGCAAAAGCGCTGCTGTAGGTTTAAGTGGCATAAATTTAAAAAAAAAAACAGAAAAACTCATAAACAGAAGCAGTCGTGGTTTTTGGTATTCTTACGCTCGCAACCCAGAAAAACTCAGAAACAGAAACACTCTTCCATTTCCGCCTCTGTCGCCGTCTGTTTCCGTCTGTTTTTAGCATTCTTCCATTTCGTCTGTCGCCGTCTTCCATTTCCGCCTCCGTCCGTCTATTTTTGGCATTCTTCCATTTCGTTCGTCTGTTTTTGACATTCTTCCATCTTCGTCCTCCACCCATTATGTACGAAATCTACAGGTTTGCTTCGAACCAATCTCGCAATGTTGTTATTTGTTTCATACTATATTTTGCTGCAATGGTATATGTAATGGATTTGTTTTTTACTGAGTTTGCTTTTAAAATTTTCAGCAATGATGAGTAAAATATATATAAGTGTTGCATTATGTTGTTGTTTGTTCTTGGTGGCATGACAAGGTGGTTTGATTTTGACTAATACGAGTGTTGAGTAGTTTGTTTCGATTTTGATACAAGATTAACATTTTGTTTAGGTTTGATATTGTTTCCACTGTTTTGATACAACTTTGATATTGTCCAATGCCATGCCATGTAGAAATTTGTTAAAGAGTTAACAAAGTTAGAAATTTTATTAAAAATAGTTGTTAGGATGCAATTAAATTGAATTAGAGGTTAGTGAAGTATTAGTTGTGAAAATGGAATATTGTTGTTGTTAGTGTTGTCGTTAGTGTTGTTGTTGATGTTAAAATGGAATGTTGTTGTTGTTGATGGAAAAAAAAATAATGTTAATGTTGTTGTTGTTAGTGTTGATTCTAATGATATTGTTGTTGATATTGTTGATGGAAACAAATGAATTAATTTCGTATATATGTTAATGTTATTGCTGTTAACGTTGATGGAAACTTGAATTAAAGTAAATGAATTATTGTAGTTGATGTTATTGATGTTATTGTTGTTCATGAAAGTAAATGAATTATTTATGTCTGTTAGTTTTGATCGTTTCCAAGAATTATAATGTTGATGATGTTATTAATTTTGTCTGTTATAGGGGTTACTTGTGTAGAGAAAGATTGTGATCGTTCTATTTTATACTTTATTTTCTCTTTTCTATTTTATATCTATCATGTGTGGAAATAAGATTGTGATTGTTCTACACATATTGCATGTATTGTATAGCATAATATTAAAAAATAATATTAAGAGTAACAATAACAACTACAAACTTCCACTTTTAGAACATGTTTGACTTCGAAGTCGATAACAGTTATTCAAAATTACCTAATGAAAAATCACCTAATGACTTCGAAGGCTCCCTCTTGGAATTCAAGTGTTTTCCTCCTCTTATCATGGTAAATCTTCTGACGACTCTGCGGCGCTTTCATCTTTTCTTGGATCATCTTGATCTTTTCAGTCGTCTCTTGCACAATCTCTGGCCCGAGTACAACACTCTCACCTGACTCATACCAACACAATGGAGTCCTACACCTCCTACCATACAAAGCCTCATACGGTGCCATTTCGATACTAGAATGGTAACTGTTATTATAGGTAAACTCAATCAATGGCAAATGACTTTCCCACGATCCACCTTAATCCAACATACAAGCTCTCAGCAAATCCTCCAAAGACTAGATGGTTCTCTCTAGCTATCCATCCGTCTGCGGATGATAGGCAGAACTCAACCTCAACTTAGTATCCAAAGATGTCTGCAAACTCTCCCAAAACCTCGATGTAAACCTTGAATCTCTATTTGACACAATACTCGACGAAACACCATGCAACTTCACAATTTGATCAATATACAACTCGACAAGCTTCTGCAACGAATAATTGATCCTCATCGATATAAAATGAGTCGATTTGGTCAATCTATCAATAATCACCAAAATCGAATCATATCCCTTCAAAGTCTTCGGCAACTTTGTAAAAAAATCCATAGAAATGCTATCTCATTTCCATTCTGGAATACTCAGTGGTTGCATCAGACCCGACGACTTCTGATGTTCAATCTTCGACTTCTGACAAGTCAAACAAGCATACACAAACTCTACGATTTCCTTCTTCATACGCGGCCACCAAAACAATTTCTTCAAGTCTTGGTACATCTTCGTGGCACCAGGATGAATACTCAACCCGCTTCTATGACCTTCTTCAAGAATTCTCTTCTTGATTTCTGGCACATCGGGAACACATACTCTATCTCGGAACCTCATCACACCATTCTCGTCGATCCGAAAACCACCTCTGTTACCTTGATTGACTAACATGATATGATCCACCAAACTCAAATCAGATATCTGACCTTCTCCGATCTCTTGGAGGATACCACTATTCAACTTCAAAATTCCCAACTTCACACTGTTAGAAGTCTCTTTGCAAACCAAACTCAAATCTCTGAATTGCTCAATCAGTTCTAACTCTTGAACCATAAGCATCGACATATGCAATGACTTCCTACTCAACGCATCAGCTACAACATTAGCCTTACCAGGATGGTAACTCAATTCAAAATCATACTCCTTCAGAAGTTCAAGCCATCTTCTCTGCCTCATGTTCAACTCCTTCTGATCAAACAAATACTTCAGACTCTTTTGATCACTGAACACTTCGAATCTGGACCCAAAAAGATAATGTCGCCAAATCTTCAACACAAACACCACAGCGGCCAACTCTAAGTCATGCGTAAGATAATTCCTTTCATGGATCTTCAATTGTCTGGAAGCATAAGCAACCCTTGACCATTATGCATCAGTACGCCTCCAAGACCCATCTTCAATGCATCACAATACACAACAAAAGACTCACTCAGATTTGGCAAAATCAACACTGGAGCAGTCGTCAAGTTCTCTTTGAGTTCTACAAAACTCTTCGAACAAGGAACATCCCACAGATAAGCTTGACCCTTTCGAGTCAAATGAGTCAAAGTCAATGCCAACTTTGAAAATCCTTCTATAAACCTGTGATAATAACCAACCAACCCAAGGAAACTTTAAATCTCAGTAGCAGACTTTGGAGTCTCCCACTGCAACGCAACATCAATCTTTGACGGATCCACCACAACTCCCCCACTAGAAATCACATGGCCAAGGAAACTCACTTCCTTCAACCAAAACTCACACTTGGACAACTTGGCAAAGAGCTTCTTGTCTTTCAAGGCCTGCAATACCACTCTTAGATGTTGCACATGCTCTTCCTCAGATTTAGAATATATCAAGATATCATCAATGAACACTACCACAAACTGATCCAAATAAGGATGAAAAATCCTATTCATATACTCCATGAACATACCAGGTGCGTTAGACACACCAAACGGCATCACAGTATACTCATAGTGTCCATACCTCATCCTAAAAGCTGTCTTCGGAATATCATCAGGCTTAACGCGAATTTGATGATAACCAGACCTCA